CGAGGGGCCTCTCCTCCTCATCCCCAGTAGCACGGGTACCGGTGCTGCAAAAGCCGGGGTCTGTTCATAAATAGAACTAAAGTAACTTCAAGTAACACTGTTACAAGTCTATTCCTAGTTTTTGCATAGTCCCACGCTCTGTCGCCCCTTCCCCTCAGGAGTTCGCCTATGGTTGGGAATGGTTCCGCGAAATCACCGCGAAGTTATGACGGAGTGGAGGGTTTACCGCGCTGGCTAATAAAGAGGGGAGAATTCGAGCCGGGTCGAAGGCTTCCGTTTCACGGATGCGCTGTTTTATTCGCTGTAAAGGTGCTTAATTTCCGGATACCTTATGTTGGCCTGCTATTGTCTTGAAATAGAAGAATAGAAGGATTTCACTTGAATGTCATGTGTTTGAAGTCATTTTATGACGCAATCTATGTTTCATCCCTTAGCTGTATACACAGACCGAACAGTGCATGCGGGTAGGAGTGGGAATCATCAGAAGTTGACATGATGAAGAGGGGCTGGAATAGGAGTGTGCAAGAGGAAAAGATAGCATCGAATTGCAGGAGATGGAGGAAGGAGAAGAAGGCCTGGAGGTGCACGAGAAGACAGCGGAGCTGTTGCAGAAGATGGCCGAGCAGGAGCGAGCCGGTCAAGCGGTCATTATGGGCAAACGGGCGATGGTCGAGTTCGACGAGAGACGCCAGAAATGCCGCGAGGCACTGCGGCAACTGCGTACCGTGGACAAAGTGAGCAGCCTGTCCTTTTTTTTGGTCTTTTGTCTTTTCACCCCTCCTCCCCTCACTCCCCGGTTCCTTTCTCCTGGAATTTTTCGATGTTTCTATCCTTGGCCAATTTGTTGGGTTGCGAACTTCTTGTCAACGAATTCGAGCAGCGGTCAGAGTTAAGAAACGAATAAATGGCTAACGCACGAGCTGCGCGGGCGAAGATGCGTTTTTTGCATAGTTCCCCGCAGTTTTTGTTGCTACTGGCTTTTTCGCCAAATGCTTATAGCTAAACAAATTAAGACTGGCCGCTAGAACCGTAAGGGAACACCCCTTAAAAATTTCAGCTTTCTAGCTTCTCTGGTTACTGAGTTAGCAACTTATTGGAACAAAATTTTTACAGCTTTTGTAGGTCTTGAGATGAAAAACCGTGACAGACGCACATACAGACAACCTCTTGTCAGTATGCGTTTTTCGCATTGCATAGCTGCAAAAAACGCATAATGAAGTTGCCGGATGCATCAAAATTGCGTAACGATGTTCGATGCAACGAGGGTTTATGCTAGTTGCTGTCCAGCATTTTATCGACGAAAATAGAGTTACTGAGAGTGAAATATTCCCCCACTGACATCTCTTTTTTGGATTTTTTTAGAGGCAATTTTTTGCTTATTGCTTTATTTCCACCATGTGATGAAAATTGGAATTTTTCACTCCCAGTTTTCTATCGAAAGTTCCCCCACCGTACATATCATTTGTGGCGGTTAAATTGGATTTCCTTACTCATCGACGCAGTTTTAAATAAAAATATATTAAAACACTTTTCGGAGATAACAGTTCGAGATATCCGTTGTAGAATTATCCAGTTGTGGGATTATCCAGTGTGAAAGGGAAACTATCGAGTGATTTTTGGTCCGCTCATTTTTCATCTCATCTTCGTCAGGTTCTGCTGCCTCTGCATTTTTCCGCTAGATGAAACCTCGCATCATTATTTACGCCAGTTCAAGCGATTCCTGTGATCTGCCCTTAGTTGCGTGATCTGTTCTAATATAGCCCAAATTTCCGTACAAGGTTCCTTCGGTTCATCGACATACCTACGTGCAGCATTGAAGCCTGTCGTTTAACCTGTCATGAGCCATCTGGCCGCACATGGCGGTACCACGATAAAACTTCGTTTAGGCATGAATTATACATACAGGAGTTACTAGTTCCACAAGGAAGTTGCCCAGTTTCACTGATATTTTTTGATGATATTGAAGTAAAACTAAAGATAGAAGCGATAATTATTTTCACTGGAAAGGGGCAGAAACTAACATCCCAAGAGTACTTAAAAAGGATGGTCGAGGGCATGTAATTTATAAATAGATATAAAACTGAACTGATTGGCATCATACAATATTTTATAGTATTACTGCTTGAGATATGAATAAAAACATTTTTTCTCTTTTTTTTTATTAAAAAATTGTGGAGTTTTACTGGAAAACCCCGAAATTTTTAAATTAAACCAAATATGTGTGGTTTTTCAAAAGCAAGTCCTTA